TCAAGTCTCAAGTCATTGAATACCAAGTTAAAGTCAAGTCAAGTCTTTTATCAATGTTAGTCAAGCAAGTCTCAAGTCAAAAGATATGCGACTCGAGTCTGACTCAAGTCAAGTCATGTGACTCGAGTCCCCACCTCTGGTATTTACCTATAAAAACAAAGTTGTTTCTGTCCTTTAAGTAGGATTCAAACCAATTTAGAACTGTTTCCGAAAGTCCCACCCAGTTTTCTAGTCGGTCAAGTAATATGTTGTGGTCAACAGTGTCAAACGCAGCACTGAGATCTAATAATACTAACACTGAAGTTCTGCCACTGTCTGTGTTTAAGTGGATGTCATTGAAGACCTTTACAAGAGCAGTCTCAGTGCTGTGGTTTGGACGAAAGCCTGACTGGAACACATCGAAACAGTTATTTAAATGCAAGAAATTACTCAACTGTTGAAAAACTACTTTGTCAATGATTTTACCTAGAAATGGCAGGTTTGATATGGGCCTGTAATTGTTCATCACTGAAGCATCTAGATTATTCTTTTTTAAGAGTGGTTTAATGACTGCAGTTTTCAGGACCTGTGGAAAAACACCTGAGTGAAGAGATTTGTTTACTATATGAAGTAGATCTGAGGCCATGCAATGACATTTTGTTTTGAACAATCCTGTTGGAATAATATCAAGGCAGCAGGAGGAGGATTTCAGATGTTGAATAATGTCCTGTAGGTTTGTATCATTCATCTGATGGAATTGTGTCATGGTGTTTGAATTGATTTAAAGTGGACACAGGGACAAAACATTTTCTGTACTTGATACAGAGGCACTGACTGCTTGTCTAATTTTCTGAATGTTGTCAGTGAAGAAGGAGGGCCCTGGTGGATAGAAATTCAGAGGCTACCGACACTGGGGGGTTTGTTAGTCTGTCAACGGTAGCAAACAAGGCACGTGCGTTGTTTTTGTTTTTGGTAATGATGTCAGAGAAGAAAGACTGTCGTGCAATTTTAAATTCCAAATTATAAAAGCCAAGTCTCTCTTTATAGATTTCAAAATGAACCTGGAGATTTGTTTTTCGCCACCTGCGTTCAGCTTTTCGACACTCTTTTTTCTGTTTTCACGCTCATGGCCTTTCTCCATGGAGATATTTTCTTGCCAGTCACTTCCTTTACCTTAGTTGGAGCAATGGCATCTATAACATTTTTAATTTTTGAATTAAAATGATCTACTAGCTCATTTACTGAGATGTTAGCAGGGGCAAGTGTGGAAGAAATATTCTGAGTAAACATTTCCCTAGTATTTTCAGTTAAATATCGCTTTGTGGTTACTTATTTTTGAACATTTTTGTGAACAGAAATAGAGCTCTCAAAGAAAAAACAGGAATGATCAGAGAGTGCAACATCAGTCACCACAACCTTTGAGATATTCAGACCCTTTGAGATGATTAGGTCCAGTGTGCCCCTTATTGTGCGTGGGCTCCATCACATGCTGAGTCAGTCCATAGTTATCATAGATCAAATCTTGACATGTTTTCCCGAACGCTCTGCCTATGTTGATAAATGTTACACTTTCAACAATTAATATTCATCAAACATTTGGTTTTACATTTCAAATCCATTCTTTAAAATGTACAACTCAAGAAAAGCTAAGTAGAAAAAGTGTTGACAGATGTCTCCAAAATGTATTTTCAAACTGATAAACTGACTGATTATTGAGATATTCTAAATGAATTGTGACGCAGCCAAGCAACAGAGAGTCTGGTGTTTTCCAGCGGTTTGGGAAGGAGCAGGCAGACAGTCTTTTACCACACAGGGGATTTGAATTAGGACAGAAGTAAAGCCAGACTGCTGATTGATTTCAGCAAAACCACGAGGCCCACACACACACACATTTAAATACATGCTCGCTTTTCCAAGCTCTCACACACCCGTCCCTGAAGGTTAACATGTAACTCTCTAGTGCACGGGGTCAGACTGCGATTGGTTACATGAGGAATTCCCTACTTACTCCTTAAGTGACAGCTGGATTAGACACATGTATGTTTAGCCTGGGGGGAGAATACATGGATTATGTGCGTGTCTACAGTAGGTGTGTATTTGTTAACCTGGCCATTTTCCTCCTCAGGACAATCAATGGACGTATATGTGAGTGTAAACCTTCATATTGTCTCTTCCTCCTCTCATCTGTCAGGGTGTGCTGAGTCGAGAGCCGTTCCCCTTACCTCCAGTTCCTGCTCCCGCCTGTTTAGACCCTTCAGAGAGCTACTATGAGGAGGCTCAGCCCTACGAGGAAACTTTCAATGGTAAAAACTCTTGTTGAATGTCACTCTTCTTCTACTCTTTAAACCTACGCCACAACATTTTAGAATCCTCTCGGTAAGGCCTAGTTAAAGGAAACTACGTGAGTTAAAAGCCTATTTTGTTTTTCACAACACCTTAACCTCTGAGCTTGAGCTGTTTACCGTCATGGAAACATTTTGACACACTTTTCTGATGTACCTATTCTTAACAGGAAACATCTCTGGTTATCTGAGAAAGCGGTTTCACGCACTGCAAGAAGAACGTCACAAAAAGAAATACAAGACGTTATCATACATTAAGATCATATGGGTAGTTGGGGCTTGCTGTGGTAAATAAGTCACTTTAACAGCTCACAAGGTGCATTACTGCTGCATTACTTAAATATCATTAAACCACAGCTATGGTGTCATGGATTGGTCTTGTTGTTTTAACACCTGCTGCTCTTATCGCTGACACCCGCTATAAAAATATGTTTAATTCAATATATAGGTGAATAGTGTTAATTAGGCATTTTTTATTTTAGATGTAACTTCTCTCTTATTTATTTTCCTTTTCTTCTTGTTCTTGTTCTTGTCCTCCTCCTTTTTCTTGTTTTCTATGATGTTGTTAGATCTGGACTGTTTTGGCCTCTCAGGGCCCTGGATGCGAGTGCACAGCTCTGACAGTGTGATCTATGCTGTTATCAACAGGGGTAGCTACCTCTCTATCACTGGATGTGTGTGTGTTTATGTACGGCATGTGCACGGGCCATTGAGCATGACCAGCGTCTCGCATGTAGAGAAACAACCTCATGACATGCGACAAAAGTCATTAATCAGTCTTATCTTATCAATTTCCTTCGTTTGTTTTTCTCCTTTTCATCATATCTTTATCCTCTCACCATCTCTTATCAATACTTCAACAGCTCATGTGGCTGTTGCATGGAAATCCTCTTCTCTGGAGGATGTCATCATGATCAAGGAGTCATACATTGACATCATTTAACAGTGTCATCATTTGTGTTGCTGCTTCTCATGCCGTTTCACCCCCAACCCACCCTCTCCCCTTGTGGCCTCTTTGTTTTAGTTTCTTATCATGTTTTTGTTTCTTAGATGACGGGGATGCAGTTAGCAGCTCGTACGAGTCCTACGATGAGGAAGAGGTGACCAAAGGAAAGTCAGAGTCAGCGCAGCACCAGTGGCCGTCAGCGGAGGCCTCCATTGAGCTGATGAAGGACGCTCGGATCTGCGCCTTCCTGTGGAGGAAGAAGTGGCTCGGACAGTGGGCCAAACAGCTGTGTGTCATCAAAGACCATCGCCTGCAGGTCGGTGAAAGGCATTGCGGGAGTTTGAATTAAAGCCCCTTTTTAAGGTTAAAAAACACAATGGTGCTCTAGGAGGAGATTCAGGTGATAAGGTGGGCGGGTGTCACTTGGTTGGTTATTGGCTAATGGTTACACAACCAAAAAAACATTATGACATCACAAAGTGGCCAAAATCCGATTAGCTCATTGTCAGACAGGATTTTCTGTAAATAGATCAGGACAAAAAGAGAGGGGGTCTTTTTTCCTGAAACGTTCAGAATCTCTTTACACAGAGGGGACACATTTATGTATAAAAGACATGAAAAAGTGGATTTTGCATAATAGGTGACCTTTAAAGAATGGAAAAGTGTAATCCAATGTAAATAAATGTATAAATTGGTGTATTATGATGTGGTCCTAATCTGGGTTGACAATGGTGAGAAAGCCCCCCATGCCAAGGAGCCAAAATGCCTAATACCAGGGTCCTGGAGCTGGATTTGTACTATTTCTTATTAAAGTGTTGTGTTATCTCTGCCTCTCACAGTGCTATAAGAGCTCCAAGGAGCAGACGCCTCTCCTGGATGTGAGTCTGCTGGGCTGCAGTGTGGTCTACAAGGAGAAACAGATGAAGAGGAAAGAGCACAAATTAAAAATCGTTCCAGTTGGAGGGGAGGCCATCGTGCTCGGCCTGCAGAGCAAGGAGCAGACGGAGCAGTGGCTGAAGGTAGGACTCAGAAACTGTGTGGGTCATGTTGTCATGGTTTCTTTACCCTATTAACAATAGTTAATACGTTTGTTGTGTGATTTATATTGTGTTTTAATTCATAAATAACATTTTAATATGTCAAGACTTATCAACCTCCTGTTCATTAGGTGATACAGGAGATCAGTCCTAAGCCAGCTGAAAACTGTGATGCACAGCACTCACAGTCTGACTCCCCAAGGCTCATTTGTACAAAGGTACGCTTATTTTAAACATTTTTGCTTTGGTGTGTGTGTGTCTTTCTTTGCTCAGATAACTTGTTGAGGAGATCTGAAAGGCATATATATATAAACTGTAGGGCTCTGTAACAGTTTTTTTGTGTATTTCTAAAGAACTTGCCTAATACAGTATATGACTAATATGTTGATTTGAACTCTCAGGGAGAATTGAGTGAGAGATACTCAGTGGCTTCAGAGAGTGGAAGCAGCACTGACAGCCATGCTGACACTCCCGAAAACAAAGATGGTGAGTCACTCCTCAACGCTTTATTGTTTCAGTTTTCCAACATTTGGGTTTAAGACCATCGGTGATGCGTATCTGATAGTATGAAATGTTTTTATTGAATCAGAATTATTCTCCTCCCCTTCAGTGAAAAGAAAATATGGAGCAGGGTTGAAGTTTAGCAACCTCATGAACATTGGCAAGAAAAAACCCTCTTCGTTGGAGAGCCCAGAGAAATGTGTGGACACCTCAGGTGAGCAGAGAACTAATGTGCATTTTGTGCCATGAAATAAGCTCCCAAAGCATGAACACAGTTGCACTTCCTCTCCTTTGACACAGTTACTTTTTATTCTACAGCCCTTGCTAGGTTGTATTTGAAGGTGAAAGTCTCTATGTGTAAATTCCTTTTGATACCAGTATAGATTTGTCAATACATGTTCTTATGTGCCTTCTTAGCTTTAAAAAAATTATAATACTTTTATTGGAATAATATCATTAATCAATACTAATAGAAAATGTCCAATATACTGTATGTATTTGCAAATATTATTATTATTTTTGTATGTTATGCACCCCCCGATACAAATTGAAAAAGCACAACATGTTCCTGATATACCTACATACCCATATACTTTATACATTAAAGAAAATAATTTTGATCATGCTAACTAGGGATAACCAGAGACATGGATTTGATAGAGGAAAAAAAAAAAAAATGGGGGGAGGGGTGGTGGTAGCTTCAAAACCTTTAATTTCTTGACACAGAGAATTTGACCTCTTTTAGCCACCAAGAAAGTACCACAACAGTTTGTTGGATTTAAGCAATAATCGATATGACATTAAACAAATGTAGATAACTATTGCTAAGGTCAAATGACCATGGAACGAAGAAGAAGAAGTCATTGCAAATGTCTCTCCTCTGTCAGGCTACCTCAACGTGCTGGTGAACAGCCAATGGCGGACCTGCTGGTGTCTTGTAAAGAAGGGGCAGCTATGGTTTTACCATGACAAGAGCAAGAACAAAGTGAGCCAGCCAGCAGTGAGTCTGGGGGGCTGCAGGGTCCTGCCCGACCCCATCCCCGAGCACCTGTACTCCTTCAGGATCAATATGGATGGCAGTCAGCTGGCCACCCTGGAGGTAAACCACCACTGTCTGTTGTGCTGCTTTGTAACATCCCGACAAATGTCTTGCATCTCAGTAAATGGTTTGACACTGTTTATCACGTAAGAGTTTTACACCCTGACGTCTTTCTCGCCTTTTATCTAGTGGCGTACAAACTGTTTCCTGAAGATAATATGAGCAATTGCCTCAAGTCTAACTGGAGAAAAAAACAACAGTCAGCAGAAATGGTGTCTACAGTTTATTATAGGAAACACTAACATGTCCTCATCTGGAATCGACTTTCTGCTGACATCTAACTTATGTGTATTATATTTGTGCACACAAGGGTGGTCTGCGTGTGTGTGTGTGTTTTACTGAAGGGTGTGTATCCTCTGGGATTTCAGGGAATTTCATTAGGTTTCAAGTACCACCCTGCTACAGCTCATATTTGGTCCTAGGCCATGGAATCCAATGTTTAGTCTTAAAGGCTCTGACACCATTTTATGAGTCCTTTTTGTTTTCTATCTAACAAAATGAAACTTCACAAGTACAGTATTTACCAAAACTTAAGCAAGATTATCACCCATTGAATTCCTACTAAACTGGACCAAACCATGATGAGTTACTTCACACAGTTTCTATTAGATGAGCTATTTGAATCCCCCAGAATAATAATAGATGTTTTATATGTATCAGAATAATGTGTTCCTAAACAGCATTTTCAAACACATTATTGAATTATCAAGAGACTGTAATTGCTAATGCTCCGCTGGGGACATGGTAACTCCTTAAAACATTTTGCATATTGAAATACTGCGGGCACCCATGCTGTTGAAATATTTTCATTAAAACAAACCGACGCAGGGTATGCAACATTAACCATAAGCTTGAGACTCATGATGTTGCAAGTCCATGGTATGAACTAAATGCACTTTGATCTTCTCCTCTTCTCTCAGGCTAAAACGTCCGCAGACATGGGCCACTGGCTGGGCCTCCTGCTGTCCCAGACGGGGAGCAAGACGGACCCCGAGGAGCTGACATACGATTACGTTAACGCTGAGAGGATCTCCAGCATCGTCAACGCTGCCAAGACTTCCTTATAGTAAGATCATCACTACTGCTCACTTTAATGTGAATGTGTACTTTGGCCAGATATTCAAGTGGGACTTTTCTTTTTGTGTCTCTCTAGCTTTATGCAGAGGAGGTATTCAGAGCCAAACAACTACATAGACACCCCCCCCTCCATGCCTCACAACTCTGATGAACTGTATGATGATGTGGCGTCTATAGCTGATCCAGAGGTATGGTATCCAGGAACAGAAACTTGAGATATTTTCCCATTATTGATGCATATTCCTGTTTGTTGAGTTTTTAGAAAGTCACCTTTGAAATGTTATAAAATATGTTTACCCACAAACCAAAAAATCTTATTTAATTTGTAGAAAAAAGGACATTGATTCAGCATTAATGTCCACAAATATGCAAAATAAGATGGTAATCTTAGAAAATTGTGATTTTTTTTTTTATGTTGATTGGTGTAGCACTTTCAGTTTCATTTTTTACATTGTGTCCTCAATTTGGCTTCGTTCCACCTCATAACTTCCTGTTCCTGTGTAATACAGGATGCTGAAGAGTATGTCCTGCCAGAGAGTGAGGACAACAATCCTCAGGAACAATTTGAGACATGCACACAGGACAGCAAGGACTCAGAGGGAACAGAGCAGGACCCTGACAACAGGATTTACCTGGACCTGGTCCCTGTACGCTCCTTCCTCCATACGTCCTGCGGGGGTAAAGCCCTCCCTGCCAGAGAGACTTCTAGAGAGTCCCCAGTCCCAGTAGAGGACCCAGCATCTCAAATAAAAGAGGTAGGTTATATCATTTAAAAACATATTTGATATTTTCTGAGCATAAATCACATATTTTGTGCCTACATTTTTTTTATTTCCAGGCCAACTCAACTAGCCACACAGAGCCAGATTCATCATCTGTGGTAAATGGAACAAGTTTGACCTCTATAACCAGCAAACCAGAACCAGAACTACCCCAGACTCCCCCTCCACCTCAGCCTCAACCAGTCAAGTCCTCGTCCCAGAGCCAGGAGACCCCCAAGAGGAATAGTGTGGGAATCTCACAGGCATTCACCTCCCCTGGGGTTCAGATCAATAAAGGTCAAACGGTTTCTACTGGACTCCCCCACAGTCCTGTCCCCCTGCGGCCCAAGGCACATACCATAGGTGAGGACGGAAAAACATTTCCAACTTTAACGGGAAAACCTCCTAAAATAATGTTTTATTGAGAAAAAGTAACTGTTGTCTTTACCATTGAGTTAAATAAACTGCTTCCCTTCCTCTGTATTCTTACATTACCATGGCTCCCCCTAGTGAAAAGCTGCATCCTCTACACTCAAAGAAACACCTTCAAAACATAATGCAGATTTCAATTCCAAATGAAATTAGCTTTTTAATCACGAACGCATCTTTTTTTTTCATTCTTGGCAATGAATTTGACCAAATGTTTTATTATTTGCTGAATTTAAAAAGCTGTTTTCTCAGATTCAAAGTTTTTTTAAAGGGTTTTTAAAGACATGAATTGATAGCTGAGCCACTGTTTCTTTGTTTGCTGTGTGGATAAAGCTAACAAGGATTTGGATATCAAGATAGATCTAGATTTGGATTGTTATACTAGCTAGAAATGTACAATATTTAAATCTTTCTTTGATTCCCAGGGTGTCCCGGTGCAGTGGAAGGGAAACTGGGCAAGAACCGCACAGAGGCAGATATGCGGCGCTACATCGATGAGCGCGACCGCCTGGAGCGAGAGCGGGAGGAGGTGAGGAGCAGTCTGGGAAACCTGAAGAAAGAGAGGAGGGAAACCAAAGAGGAGCTCAGCGCCTGCCAAGGTACATCAGCACTTCCTGTGACACACACTGAAGGTCATCACTGATCTGTGTGACTGACAGCTGTATGTTATCCTCAGATCCAAAGCAGCAGGCCTCATTAGAAGCCCGATTGAAGCAGAAGGAGGAGGCGTGTCGGGAGGCGGAGAACCGCAGGGTGGAGGTGGAGCTACGGTTGATGGAAGTAAAGGAAAGTCTGAAGAAGGTGGAGTCAGGGCCGTTCACACTGGGGACCACACTGGACAGCAGCCTCCAGGACTCACCTATGGTAAGTGTGCAGGTTATCAGAGGAAACATGATTTATATAAGCCTTTAAAGGTCTCCTATTATACTATTTTTAGGCATATATTATACAAAAAAATATATATAAACATGTCCATAAAGTGTTTTGCTCAACAGATCACCCATTCTAGCCATGCCTCATACCCCTCTATTTCAGCCCTGTTAGAGAAGTTCTGATTCTGGGTCCTTAGCTCTGAGTGTTAGCGATGCTTGCTAATGTAAACAAAGACCATATTACTTCCAAAGTACGTCGCGCATTGTTTGTGATACAGCGACGTTTCTGATAGGGCCGTGGATGTAAAGCCAGCCCACATTTCCGATATGTCGTAATGACCACAGCAAATCTGGATCAGCTCCGTTGTACCCCCATTTTTAGAGATGTGGGTAAGGAGGAAAAGGTTTTATTATTTTCGGACACTTTGTGAGTCTACTGACACACTGGGGACACAGGTATAAAAGACATCATAATAGGAGACCTTTAAGCCAGGGTCCTGTTTTGTTTTGCTCCCTTACCAACTGTTGACTGTTTACCCTCAGCCTAAAGCAGCAACCCTGCCTGCTCTACAGTCGACATCATCATCCCCATCACCTTCATCCCAACCCCACAACAGCAACACCAGTGCAGACCCAGGATCCCCAGTCAACTGTGCATCTGCACTAAAGAGCAGACCTGCTTCCATCATGGCCACCAAAGGAAAAGTCCTGCAGAAAGCCATGGTGACACTATACATACTTCTAAATGCAAATGCTTCAGTTAAACAAGATACTTCCATGTATCAGGATGAATCATAGCAAGTGTATGAACTTGTATTAAATGCATTCAAATAACATAATTTCATAATTCTTGTATTTTCAGGAGTGGGAGAAGAAATCCACCACCTAGAGGGAAACATGATGACCTTTTTGAACTCTCAAATCAACATTCTCCCTACTCCCTCTGGATTCCTCATCAACTTCTTGCCAAGACTATAAATCAGAGAGCCAATCAGAGGGATGTCTTCTCAAACACCACTGGATAATCTGAGTTTTAATGACTTTTTCATGGTTGTTTTTCTCCATTTGCTCAAGGGAGGACATTGATGAAGTAGCGTTTTGGCCAGTCCAACAATTGTTCTTGATGATGATGCACGAATGAAAACAGCCAAACATTTTAAACCACTGAGACCCTCTACTTAATTGGCAATGTTGTACACTCTAGATTGTAGCTTGGTTCATATATGCTGTTAGCCAAGATGTAAATATATTTACGCCATTATTCAGCCTAATTTGGCTTGTATTGCTAGCTAAAAATGCACTTTTTATTCAAATAAAAATGTACTGACAACAATGTTGGCTGGTAATTTGTTTATGAAAATGTTTACCTCTCTCATCCCAGCTGGGCCCTTGAAAATGGATCAAAGGTTCACTGTAACTTTAAAATCCGTGTAGCATTACAATTTCACAGGGTAACTACACACACTTCTTAAAAATGAAAAAATAAAGTATTTATGAGGGAAAGTCAACTGATAATAGGAAGTTCACATTTCAGACATGTATCTAGGTTCAAAGAGTTTAAATGTTACTTTTGGTTAAGAATTTGAAACATTAGCCATTTTGAATTTACAATTTTGTGGTCATTTTCCTGTTTTGTTTCTCTTTTCTCCTAAAGCAATATAACAAATAGTGAAACACATCATTATTTGTATATCTGTTGTTCATTAGTGTGAGCAAACAACCACCTTTTTATTATAAACCGTAATCAGTTGAGTGAAATTAGAAGGGTCTTTTTGCCAAAATGAATGTCAAATATTATAATAAAACAATTACTGAGCATTTGGTTTTAAGCTTTTTGGCAAAACCTTTATGTTTTTGTCTTTTTTGTAAGTAGGCTGTGGATATTATACAATAAAAATAATACAATCATGACTCAGATATACTCTATATTATAATAAAATATAAAAGTTTACATCTTTGAATAGACAACAACGAGACACAGTCTCTGACTAGGACACATATAGACACTGGCACTCAGAATCTCAACAAGCGCCTTAAACTCCAGTTTAAATATTGAAACATTAGCTTTCCCTTAACTCCCATGTGTACCCGCTATCATCCTCGGTTCTTAAGTGTCCATACGTGGCTTGTTTCTGTGTCGGTGTTGTCAGACAGCATGCCTCCTGCGGTGCAGTTTGTAGCGATGCAGGAGCTCCTGGCGGCTCTTCTTCCTCAGTCCGACAGGCCTCGGGAGATCTCCTCTGGAGGAAGGCCTGATGCTTTCTACGGATACGTTAAAGAAATAAATGAATGCACTTGCAAAGGATGCTGTTACTGCAAAGTCTTAAAAACAGAGTCAAGTTGTACAAGTAAGAAAAGCAGTCAGACAACTAGTCTTAAAATGTATGTAGCTTTGACTCATAAACAGATTAGAAGAAAAGGATCTATAGGAAGTAAAGATAATGCATTTATAAAAGGAAGGTGGATGTGAAGGAAGGAAGGACGAAAATAAGGAAAACAGACTTACTTCTTTCACAGTGAGGTCCTTCATAGCCTTGGCACTGACAGCGGAAGCTCCCTTTGGACAGGATGCAGGTCCCATCATTCATACATGGGTTAGGCCTGCATAGGTTTACCGGCTTTTTTACCTCTAAAAGAAAGGAAATGTATCATACTGTAAATGAGTTGGATACCACAGCAAAATGTTTACATAATTTGTTCAGATCCCTTCAAACCCGTCCGCCATCCTTCCACACAATTCCCTGCTGAAAAATAAAGTATTGTGATTCAGTTTCTATAGATGGAACAAGCTGTCCTAGAAAGGTGTTCCTGCCCTCTCACCTGAACACAGCATCTGCACCAGCACATCCTCAAAATATTTGAGATCCTCGTAAAAAGGCACGGAGATCATGTGTTCCTCTGAACCCGCGATCCGCAGCAGCCTGTCTTTCTGAACGTCTCCAATCCCGATGACAAACACTGACACTCCGTTATCTCGGAGCTTCTGAGCTGGAACGGCAGCGTCGTCCCCCCCCGAGCCGTCTGTCAGTAACACCACGGCCTTGTTGACCCCCGGCCGGGCCCCTTTGGACGCCGTCAGGACCTCGGAGTGGATGTGAAGTAGAGCGGAGCCCGTTGAACCCACTCCACCCATGTAGTTGGCCTCATCTACAGCCTTGAGGACGGAGGAGCCGGTGTCATGCTTGTCCAGGTTGAAGACGGTGGTGGCTCTCCGACCGTAGGACACGAGCGCCACTTGAGCCACGTCGCGGTTGATGTCGAAATGGACGGTGAGGCTGCGCACAAAGTCACGCAGGATGATGAAGTTATCCGGGCTGACAGCACCGGAGGCATCCAGGGCAAACACCAGGTCCACTGCTTGGTCCAGACAACCTGAATAAGACAATAAATAAATCATTTTAATGTTAAAATACACAGATAATTTGTATTTATTAAAAAGTACACAACATGATCTTGAAGAGGTATTTCAAGACCCTAGAAATGCACTTTCTGCTAAATCAAGGTTTAATTGATCCACGTCTGCTCGAAAATGAAGATTTTAAAGATTGAATTCTATCCTATCATCTGAGTATGTACTCAGATATTTCATGTGGTGTTGCTGTTGTTAAACATGGCAGGAATTACAAATAAGTCATCAAGCATTACATCTTATTTTGGATTATTCCTTCATTTTCACAAATATGATAAGATAGCAACGTTTTCTTAAAGAAAGTGAGGTAACGTGATAATTACTGTTCAAATAATTGTACTTTCTCCTTTCCAAAATAAATTACCATAAAATAGTTAATAGTTAATCACATTAGGAATGACTGACTCCTATTGGCTTTCACCTATTTCATAAGTTATGAATTAGTCAGTCTCTACCTTGCTGATCCACGCTGCAGATCTTAGCCTTGAGCTCAGGGATCTTGGCACTGAACTCAGCTGGTGTGTAGCTGATAGTCCTCTGGGGGTTTCCTGTGATATTATTCAGTTGTTCCTTTAATTTGACTGGTCCCACCCCGATCAGGAAGATCTCTCTGTCTCGTGCATATTTAGAGGGCTCCACCACCTCGTCTGCAGCAGGCGTGGCAGTGATCAGCACCACCACGCGGGGGAGGTCGTCTGTGACGTCTGCAAAGACTGGTGCGCTCACAAATCCGTGACGTGTGACGTAGCGTAATGCCTCGCCTGTCAGGGCCTCGCCGCCCACTGGTTGAAGGGCCTCCACAGCCCTCAGCAGGCCCTTCAGGTCCCCTTTGTACTTATCCACCGGTGCCACCACCCGGGTCTCTCCTCCGAACACCGCCAGGCCCACCTTGCTGGGGCTGTTGGAGCCGATGACGCTGCGCAGGAAGCGCTTTAAGAAGGACTTGAGGCTGAGGAAGCCTTCCAAGGTGAGGGTGGCAGAGCCCTCCACCAGGAACAGCAAGTCTACGGAGCAGTCCAGGGACATGGCAGGGGCTGGGGGGGAGGGAGGGTCAAGTTAGTTAGTTTGAGAGATAGTATGCAGCCAATATAGTCAGAGGTGGAGAACAAATACTTTGTTATTGTACTTAAGTACATTTATCTGGTATCAGTACTTTACTCCGCTACTTTTTACTTTTGCGTCTTAAATTTTAAACACAAATACCTGTACTTTCTACTTCTTACATTTTCAAAACAGGTTTGTTACTTTAGTTTTAATCTGTGTTGGGTGGCGTGATCATTATTATTTAGAGTCATTGCGTGCCTATTGATTTGAACACGATCCGTGTATCCATCATTTCCTGGTCTTCTCTAAAGAAGAAGAACCAATGAAAACGTTGTAATTTTTGCCGTTGCTCAGCATGGAAACATTCATTAGCTAACAATGACATTATTGTTCTATTAATATAAAGTGAGGTCAGTTACTCTTTAAAACAGTTGGTAGTTATGTGTACATGTCGAAGCCCATACTTATTTTTTCAGTTTAGTCAGTACTTCTACTTTTACTAGAGTATTTTTAAACACGAATATCTGTACTTCTACTTGAGTAAAGAATGTGTATACTTTTGCCATCTCTAAATATAGTATCTCAGTGAATGTACACACCACAGTGTGGGTCTCCTCCAAAGCCAGGAGGACATAAGCAGTTGTATCCCTCTTGCTCATCTGGTACACATGTGCCTCCATTCAGACAGGGCTGAGAGTCACAGGGATCTACCGTTCAGTGGGAGAGAGAGAGAATGGCAGGGAGTTACACAAACACACTTAATTTCAAAGAAAGGAAGAGAGGGAGTTATCGGTGTTGTCACCTGGGCAGATAGTCCGATGGCAGACTGTCTGGTGTCTCTTGTACATCTTTGTGTACCTGAAAAACACACATTTAGACTAACACAGGTTGAAAACGAATCAAAGATTTGTACTGTGTGAGGTATGCGTTACTAATATGATAAGCAGCCTACAGTATATGGAAGGCATTATATATTTACATGTTTTCATTTGACAGACGGTTTATGACCAGTGTCGTAAAATTATTATTACATTGCATCTAGCATTTATCCAAAGCGACTTACAATAAGTGCGTTCGACCAACAAGATACAAACTTGAAGAAAACAGAATCATATAAGTACATCAGGTTTCATAGAGCTAAAACATTTCAAGTCCGACTCAACTGGCTTTAGATAAGCCAGTCCTTTATTAAAAAAAAGGGGTATCTCAAAAAAAGGGGTATCTCACTTTGATTCCAATGTGTTAACTGCAATTTATTAAAATCTCTATTTACATGAATATCTTAAGAGTCTTATTTCATAGTATCATACAAGCAGCAATCCTACTTTGTGGTGTAACTAAAAGTGCTTGAAGTCAGCTTTTATGAAGAAATTATTGCGCATTTCACAGTGGGTTACGAGAAATATTTTAAATGAAAAGTTTGTTTTCCCTAAACAGTGAGGCCAGTTCACTGTGGTTAAGTAGTAATGTGCTGGGAAATTAATTTGTTCAAAGGCCATTTTAAATTTGCCCCGGGAGCTTCTGGCAGAATCACACTTTGTTTTTATTAACAACCTCCCACTGACACAGCACATTGATGGGAATTGCCCTGTTGAACAATCACACACGTCACAGATTGTTATCCCCAGTCTGAGCTAGAATGACACCAGCTTCCTTCTTTGATTATTAACCTATCTCTGTCAGACACTGCTGTGGGAACAACATTCCTACAAAATTCTTCTTCTGGTGATTTACAGGAAAGTTTTTACTGAAGAATTATGCAGAAAATGACAGAACATTTTATTTTTAGTTGACATTGAAGCTATTTAAACGTTGACACCAGTTTCAGTGAATAGGGGGGCTTTTCTTGTCCAAAGTGCAGGAATTCCTCTCAGATGAGGAAGACAACAAGGA